TTTCACATACATTAAACAGGCCGTTCGACCAGGGCCTAAATACAACACATTTTGCACATTTTTTTTGGTGATAATCTACTTTTCTCTTTATTCAGTGATCACAAATGGTTAATAGAATTTGAATTAATCATGGAAACACAAATATCAAAGCATAAAAAGCTGTCAGATAGAAAGTCAGCATGCCTCTTAGGCTTAAAAATGGAAACTGCTTTAAAAAGCTTATTTTAGCCGTATAATGTCAGAATAGGACACTTTAACAGAATTTCTTTCAAATAAAGATGTAAATCCTTTACTTTTATTGAGTTTGACAAATTGAAACCAGCAAACCATTCAGGGACGTTGCCAAAGTACAGAATCTACATTTCCTGAATTCATCTCTTAGGCCCGAGAACACAGTTATTTCGTAGTGAATTTCTTTTAGACAATAAAGTCAAATTAAAAAAATCGCATCTGCTCTATCTCAAAAAGATTTTTACAGTGTAGTGCATTACTATTGGGACAAATAATATTAAAATTATAGAAAAGTCTACCAGCTCAAACTCAAAATATTGACAATTCTGTGTTAAGGGGGTCTAAAATTCAGTTTGACAGCTTCAGACATACTAGTTTTTGACCTTTTTTAACTGGACCAAAGCACTACTTAACATAAAGATTCAGCACCCAAATTTTTTTAAAAAGTAATTTCATCCCCTTACTTCATATTTAATGCATAAAATATAAAGAAATAAATTTGGAAAGTGTATGAAAAAAATTTGCAAGTTATACACTGTTCACACTAGGGACTATATTTGTAGACAACGAAAATCTAAGGACCATAACTGTGTCCTTGGACCAGGTGGAACAAATATACGTTGACATTCCAACCCCAGAACCCCCCCCCCCCCCTTCTGGATCCACCATTGACATGAAATATTTGCTATTGGACTTAAGCAAGCAACAATCTATCAACCTCTGTCCCTTCAGTTTATAATAACATGGTATTCAAGATCGACTTCATTCACCTTCAAAAAAATGAAAGGGACACTTTATAAATTTTATGGGTCCAAGCTTAAGGTGTTTATTTGGGTTAACCTTTATCAGGCACACTTAAAGCCAGTTTTATCTGTACTAGACATGAGAGGAGCTATATATGACCAAAACGGACCAGAAAATACTAGCCAAATCCATGTAAGGTAAACTTTGCCATATGGAGTTGAAACCATAGTTTCTTAATAATTTCTTAATTTATAGACAGTCAATTTAAATAAGGTATGTTATAAATCATGTCAGTTCTGACTCCAGACCTGATGATACTCTATGGGACTTATAATCTTCCAGCAGTGGTATCTACCTAGTGCTATAAAAATAAAAATAACTTTATCATAAATTTGTTTATGCCTCTGCAGTGCTTTTCTAGATTTACCATAAAATATTTTATACTTTCTTTTCCTGGTATGTAACAGAGTCTATCAGTTAATGCTGAAGGTCAGTACAGTCAATCCTTTTAATTATGGTCACCCTCAGGACCATAGAAAACTGACCTTATAAGAGATATGACCTTCGTATTGAGGTTCAAAATTCATAGATATTACTACAGGGAGACATGGAGATGGTTACCTGCCAAGACAGGTTTTCGCTTAATAGAGGTGACATTTATAGCAGGTTTCACTGTAATTTAAATCAATTATTTCAACATTGTATGCAAATAAAATTGACTGAAATAATAATGTACAAATGTTGAGTTAAATTGCCAATTATTCAAATTGAAAAAATTAATTCAAATGATTACACATCTCTGAAGCAGTTCACTCATTTAAGGGTTTACAATTAAAGACATACCGGTATTATGTATTTAATAATAAACAAGAATGTGTCCATAGTACATGGATGCCCCACTCGCACTATCATTTTCTATGTTCAGTGGACAGTGAAATTGGGGTAAAAACTCTAATTTGGCATTAAAATTAAAAGATCATATCATAGGGAACATGTGTACTAAGTTTCAAGTTGATTGGACTTCAACTTCATCAAAAACTACCTTGACCAAAAACTTTAACCTGAAGCGGGACAGACGGACAAACGAACGAACGGATGCACAGACCGAAAAACATAATGCCCCTAGGTAGTGCATAAAAAAACAATCTATTATGCTGTAATACATTTATTTCTAATTGATTCTGAAAATAAATGATGTAAATCATACTTTGTAGATTGTACCTTGCATACATTATGAATTTTAACATAAATAAACAATATCACATATTTAACACAAAATCTCATGGTGTATAAAGTGTATGAGATATATATATATACTATATAAATTTATTTTTTTCGATAGTAAACATTAAGACTTGGGAAAATACGATCTTTTTTGGCTTCATCTTTATCAAAATTTTAAATCTGATTTTTCACTCTGACATATAATTTAACAAAAAAGGTCAATATTTATGAAAATAAATTTTGTTCCTGTAGTTTTTCATTTTTAGATTTTATGTTACAATGAAGTTCTAATGCAAAGGGATTACAATATTAATGTACCGTGTATTCATTTATTTTCGAGGCTACCAATTTTTGTGGATAAAGAAAAAATTGTATTTTGTGGATATTTGATTTCATGGTTTTGCTAAAGTCTGCATATAAGCCTATAGAAAATTTGTATTGTGTTGAACATTTAATTTCATGGTTCACCTTCATGCACAAAATCCAAGAAAACTGGAATCCTACAAATAATATTGAACTTTGCAGGATTGTTTTACAATCATTTCACCACAATTATTTTTGTCAACAAGGCATCAGGTATTATAAAAATCCATCTTTTATTGTACACAACATGAATTTAAACAAATCACTGAATACTTTTTTGAAGTTAGTACATGTATTAATTTTAATGGGGACATTAAACTTTAATACTTAAAAAGGGAAAAGGTTGACAAATGAAAACCAAAAAACAATCTCATTATCCCTAGGCCTTTGCTTATAGGAGGGCTGTAATGGGGGTACCTTCATGAGGAATAACAGTAAAAAATCTTGCCAAATGGAGTTAGGTCATTTTTGGTGCATGACAATAAAATGTACATTTTCTTTATGGTGATAAAAAATTCAACTGATTTTGACGAATTAAGAAAAAAATTTTCCAAAAAAAAACGTAACAGATAATTATTTGAGACCTCTGACGAACCACAATAAGGATATTTTGACGAATCACGATAAAATGTTAACCAATTTAAAGCTAGCAGTAGCCAAAAATGACAATTTGACGCCTGACGGTAAAGGGTATTCCTACCCACTTGTAGGACCAGATGAATGCATAGTTTTTCTTAAATCCCAGTTGGTGGGTTGGTTTTTTAATTAGATTTTTATTGCCTGGATGTGGATTGCAAAATGGATGCTTAAATCACATGGGGTCTCAACACACAGACCTGCAGCTGGAAAACATCCACCATTCATATGAAGTTTTGTAAATATCTTGACCCATATATATATTCAATTTAGACATATTTATATATATATTTCTCTAATTCTTCGTCAATTTATCCCTTTCTGCACCCATTGTATAAAAAAAATTTAATCAACGTGTGGTTCGTTTGATCTCAGTTCCTCATTGGTTAAAATCCGATTATGACGTCGAATTTTCTTGCTTTTCTCTGAATTTCCTATTGTGACGGCATGAAAAAAGGCCACCATGCCTGATGACATCACATAGAAAGAACACATCTTTTTGCAGATCTTTCGAAAAGAAGGAATAAATTTGCCTGCGTATTGTTTGAAAATCATTAGAGAAACAGATTCCACCACCAAATCTCGTGTAATACGATATTTATCCACTCTCGGCAGTTAAATTTTAAATATTTAAAACGCTCGGCGAGCCTCGCGAGCCTCGCGTTTTAGATTTGAAAATTTAACTATCTCGAGTGGATAAATATCGTATCACACTCGATGCAGTGGTAGATTCTATATATATATATATATGTATATATTTCAATGTAAAGTCATAACCCATTCATATATTTCACAATTATCACATATAAACAATCTATGACAACTAATAAGGACTTAAAAGCATTATTTCACTTATGTTATTAAAAGTTTCATTAATCACATGCAATCATACATATAAAGTTTTTAGCAGAGTATACATAGACATCTAACCGGAAGATTAAAATTAATGACCCATTGATATATTCCCATAGTAAAATAAAACCCCATTGATATACATGTATTTGACATATCAAAAAAGTGACCCATTCTAGAGACAGGTTGGTGTATACCTCCTTATAGGAAGATAGCAAGGACCTTTATAAAATAATAAAAGAAAAATCTGTCCATGTCTATATTGATGTTCCAGCCCAAAACAGGTGTGCGACGTCTATAAATATAACACAAGAAATTTGTATACTGTGAACTGGGAAATTTTTGTGAAGGGTTTATTTACAGATGTAAAAATCATGGAAATATCCTTTCATGCAATTTTGATCTTTTAGAAAAATTTCATTCAAAGACAAGAAAAAAGGTTGAAATGAGTATCCTTAAATATTGATTAATTAATAAAATTTAGGTCCAGTTCTTTCTTAATAGAGCCTTGTCTAGGAGCTTATGTCCTACAGGGCTTTTAACCGGGGTAAAAACTAAAATTTTTACAGATATAACCAGATTAGTTCTTTCTAAAATTAACTCTATTTGTCCTATGTTAGTGTTAAAATGCAAAACAATGTTGGTAAATTTTTTAAGATGCCATTAAATATAAGGCAATGGTAATGACTTATTCAAGTTCAGTGTATTTTCAACATTGGAATTTACTTATGTAACATGTGGTGAAAATAACATGTGATGTTATATTAAATACAAAATATGAAACATAACCCAAAAATTTGTAAAGGGTTCTGCAGAACCCTGAGTCTGGCTTGCAATTGATGCTGTCAGTGTAACAGTGCATTGTTGACTGTAAAAAGTGAGATCAGTTATCAGTAAAATACAGAATTTAAAAAAAAACTTTTTGTTTAAATGCAATTTCTTGATCTTGGAGATTAGCTTTAATATGTCCAAGTTTCATAATAATCTATGACCCATGTTACCAAGGGGAAACAATTTTTTGGATTAAAGCTTGTACTTTCTCAATAAATGTATAACTTCTAAATGGTTAATATCCAATCTTTTTATCCTATAAAGAAACAACTTCAGTATGAAATTTCAACCATACTTTACTTAAAGCCAATAGAATGGCAACCTTTGGTAGTTTACAACTCATCCTAAGACTTTGAAGACTTGGTTGCGTACAGAACATTTCTAGAAATTTTATAACTGTGTTGTACTATACATTATCTATTCAAAAGATAAACTTTATCAAATTAGTTTTCTTTTCAATTCAGTTGCTAACATCCTTAATGAAAAAAAAAAAAACTCAAAATGAGCTTAAGGAAGTAGTGCCAATTTCCCCTGAAGTTATTTCACAACTCTTTCATGCGACTCTGACAACCTTTATAGTCATTCTTGGCCTTGTTTGAAGATACAATACAGTTAAACATTCTCCAATCAAGTCTTGCTTAAGTAGAACAATACTAGATTATTTTTGTGAACACCATTTTTTACATTTTATACTATTTATAACACATTAAATTTACAGTATGTTTGCATAATATGTGTGAACTTGAAATAACATGACTAGTATGCCCAACAACTTTGAAAGTTATCACTGACATTATGTATGGTGAGATAACTAAAAACACTAATTATTTGCTGTCCATAAATAATATCACTGGTCACTGTGGTCAGTCCTATCACTGGACATTGTTTTCATTTATCAGACTTTCTGTTTGTTCTCTGTCCACTTCTCTGTATCTGTAATTTAAATATTTCTATGCATGAAATTGATAAATTACATATAAATAAAAGAGCATTGTTTCAAATGATATGTTGCACATATTTTATCTGTCCAAGGGCAATAACTCAAAACAATCTGTACATGTGAGAGCACTTACAAGACTGATAAGACGGACCCAGGGATGCCAAGTATTTCTATGTCCTCCACTGGACAATAACAGGGATGACCCCAGGCTACTAAATCCTTGAATTTGTAGCACACTCTTGACTTTCTCAGCAAAAACTTTAAATTTTGCGGTTAAATGAGATAAGTTTGGAAAATATTTCTTTGTCAGTATAATTTTGAAAGACTATAATTAGGTTTCCATTTTTTTTGTCATTAAATTACATGCATATTTATACACACATATATATGTATACAAGAGTATTGCAAAAGGTAGGAAATTTAGAAATTTTAGCTCCACCCTTGAAAACTTTCTGTGGTGATCCCTAAATAAACTAGTTTAACCCTGTCACATGGTCGTGTGTCTTTGGGTTGCTGTATCATTTACATATACCCCCTTACTCCTTGTATACATATTTGAGTATATACTATCTAAATTGTCACTGATGATAATTCAACAAAAATTTACGTGAAGAACTACTTTACAAAAACAACATATGGTTCAAGTATTGTAAAAATATATTTTCTAAAGTCACTAAAAAAAATGTCATAGCATCTTATCATATCCATATAATTAAGAAAGAAAGGAGTTATGGGGCATATGTCAATGATACAGCAACTAAACATAAGATATTTTTTTGATCTGGTTGTCCAGGATAAAATTCAAATTTCTCCAAAGGTGCCAATTCTCATGCAGCGGTTATGTTTCCATAAATTTTCAATCAAATAAAAGGAACGAAATTATCATTTATATGAATATTTTGTACAGATCACTTTTATTGAAATGAATGGCACATTTACCATTTGATGCACAAAGTCAACAACTGCGCCAAAAGTTTACAGGTTGAAATCTTGAATATAACAACTTCCAAAATATCCATATTTACAGTAGACTATACTGTATTTCAATTATCTTCTTACCTTGATAGAATTATTTTCCTACAGATACAGTGTAGAATTTTTTTACAGCCTATTAACACAGGGTCCCAGTTCTTACCTTGGTAGAATTCTTTTCCTACAGACACAGTGTAGAATTTTTTTACAGCCTATTAACACAGGGTCCCAGTTCTTACCTTGGTAGAATTCTTTTCCTACAGATACAGTGTAGAACTTTTTTACAGCCTATTAACACAGGATCCCAGTTCTCGTAATGGGTAAGTAAACTAACAGCAAAGAATGCAATAAAAACTGGTAAAGTTCCAACATAAAATAACCAAGTGTATGGAATCTGAAATGAAATTAAAAAATGTATTACAAAAATTTAAAAGACAAGATATATTAAGTCCACTTTTAGCTGCCTGAATTGGAAATTCATAAATTATTATAAATCAGCCAAATTACATGCTTTAAATATTCACAAGACCTTAGACCATCATTCATCAGTATATATAATTTTATATTTTGTCTTACATATTAACATTAAGGCTTCTAAAGCTATCCTTGCATTTTGTGCGAAACTACAAAAACTGCCAAAATAGCCTCATTTTGACAACTTGTCATTTATATTTAGAAATGAGCAACTGTTACAGCTTTACCCAAAAAGATATTTTGCTACAAGATGTATTTTACATGTACATACATTTAGATGCAAATGTGTGTACAATAGTTTTTGGGGTAACGCTGATGCTCATATCTATTCTGACAATAAACAATGGGTAAAATGGCCATTTTAGGTCAAATATGTCAATTTCAACATGTTTGAGACATCAAAGCGACAGCATAAGTAACCTTTCTGCACTAAAGAGTCTAGATTATATCCGATTGTGTTCATTTATCAGTAAAATAAAAATATGACTCTAAAGGCTTCAATAGTTTTACCATTTTTGCAATTTCAGGGGCCAAATAATGGCGCTTATCATATCTCCTCCTTTAAACCTTATAAAATTGTAAATTGAAGGCAAATTAGGAATCTCTATTTTTAATTTTGATCAAACAAGAACTACTTATCTCCCTTTGCTAGCACAAAACTATCTGCAACATTTTCAGTTTCTTTCTCAACACGACCTTTTTGCTACTTTCTGGATTTTTATATTACACTAATTATAACTTTTTTGAGGTACAATTTCTTTCCTCTGTACAATTTTCTTTCAACAAAAAATAAGATGCTACATTTTTGGGCGTGTTTGGATCTGCTTACTTACCAAAAAATAAGAACTGTATATACTATTACTAATTACAATTTTTTAACTTTATCAGGGATCACCATGACCTATAATGGCATGGTGTATCGCCACACTTGAATTTCCCTCCACCACCTTCCATTTTCATGTGCCATGCTTAATTTGATGTCCACAAGGCTTCAAAAATAGATTGTACTATAATACCAGATACCTTTAACCCAATCAAAAAAAAATTATCAACCTATGTTAATCAACAGTCACAACAGGTGTCATAACTTTTGTTACAGGTAATCTGGTTATCAGCTAATGGGTCATTAATGATCACCAAAATTAGTATTCATACAAATAGCAAATGTCATTCCAAGTAAAATATCAACTTTATGTCCAAGGTGGGATGCGACCGAACGTGACACATCCTCTTAAAATTGATGACATCTCTCCCCCCTTAATTTCATTCTGTGGTGAATCCTGTAATAGAAGAAAGGCTTCCAGAAAATTTAAATATTAACGTTGCCTTGATGATGTATTTTGACTGTGACATAATAAATGTGATGTCATATCAGAGATTATCCAATTTTTTTGCAAACTTAGGCTTTTTTCAGGAGCATTTTGACTGAATTGACATGGAGCACAAGCATTGCTCAAATTCCGAGTGAGCTGCAGAAAAGATCAAAATTCGTTATTTTCATCAAATTCATTTACAGCCTTAATTTTATTTTACCAATAACAAAAGTTGAATTAAATGTAAACTTACTCCTTTAAAAATAACATCAGCTAACATAGTAAGTGGTATAGTGAGACTCAGTGATAAAGTGGCTATGAGTGATGACGTAAGAAAACATCCCCTGGAAAAATTATAAATGTTCATTACATAAAAACACCTAATAACACAATATAACATTCTTATGCCAGTTTACTGCAATTTTATTTTTGGCTTTTTTTTGAAGTTACAGAATTAATATACGGAATAAAAAATATTTTACACATTCTATAACAGCAAAACATATAAAAAATAAGAAACTGAAACAGAATAAATAGAAATATTAGACGAAAATCGTAAAAATAATACACAAAATGAAAATTTCACACATATATATATAGTTCCTTGTACTCCAAAGACTTAACAAAATTTTTTTGGACATTAATTCAAATTTGATAAGTTCCAATATTTTGCCTTATAACACAGATTCAGCAGGCTGAGTTCAAGTGACAATTATTAATGCTGCATATTGAACAATCAGCACCAATATTTACCAACATGTATTTATCAGGATGAGATGTACACTTTAAGCTATATTTTGTTTCGTTAACAATGAAAATAAATCCCTTGCATTAAATATTATGCATAATTATTTTTCTCAAAACCTTACCACAGCCATAAAAATTCTGACACAACAGTTCCTATTAATCCATTTATACATATGAAGAGCCATTGCTTTCCATTAGGCCATTGGAATGTTTCTTCTTTACTATAGTGAGTTATGAAAAAGCCTGGCCATATAAATATCACACAGAAAAATCCTACAAAACCTGCAAAACAAATAATAGTGTGTAATGAATGAATATCACACAGAAAAATCCTACAAAACCTGCAAAACAAATAATAGGTTGATTGTTATATTGGTCTTCTTTTACTTTAGGGGTCCCAACCCATATAGAGCTATACACAACTATCCTTAACCCTAAACCTGACCCTAACCCTTACCTTAACCTAACACTAGCTCTAACCCTAAAACCTAACCCTAACCTAGAACATCTCCTTACCTAACCATAACCATGAATGAACCCGAACTCTAAAAGTATAGGGACCCTTAAAGTAAAAGAAGGCCGTTATATTTACTTCTCTAAATCTTAGATAATTTATACTTTCCCTGACCACTTGATTATTGTTATATACATTGGATTCATTATTATTCATGGGATACCAATTTTGGTGGATTTAATCGGTTAAGGCGAAGTGTACGTAATTAACTACTCCACAGAATTTTTTTTTATTTTCCATGTGGATTCTGCTTGTAAAAATACATCAGACAATAAAATAAAAAAAAGGGGTAACCGTTTTCGTTTTTCAGATACAAGCTGTTGAAATTAACAGCATGATACGCCAAAAATACAAAGGATATATAGGGAAAATCATAAAAATCGGCAGATATTTTTACTTTATCAAGATTTTCTAATTCGTTGGTCCACAGAATTTTTTTAAAAATCGATATGCGATTCAAAAATGAACTACGAACCCATTGGTGCAAAGAAAGTCCTTAGCAACCGTGCTAGTTTACAAGCTATATCCTGTGGAAGTTTGATTTTTAGCGGAAAGAATAAAAAATATTCGGCGACGTTATTATTGTCTACTGTAACGTCATCACAATTTCTACTAGATATAACTCTATAACGCTATTATACCGTACAGTGTCGAAACAAAATCGTGAGTGTGTATAAAATTGAGAATGGAAATGGGGAATATGTCAAAGAGACAACAACCCGACCAAAGAGCAGACAATAACCCGACCAAAGAGCAGACAACAGCCGAAGGCCACCAATGGGTCTTCAACGCAATGAGAAAATCCCGCACCCGGAGGTGGTCCTCAGCTGGCCCCTAAATAAAATTGTGTACTAGTTCAGTGAAAATGGACGTCACACTAAACTCCAAAACATATAAATGAACTAAAATTAAAAAAATATACAAGACTAACAAAGGCCAGAGGCTCCTGACTTGGGACAGGCGCAAAAATGCGGCGGGGTTAAACATGTTTTGTGAGATCTCAACCCTCCCCCTATACCTCTAGCCAATGTAGAATAAAGAAACACATAGCAATACGCACAGTATAACTCAGTTTAAAAGAAGCCCGAGTCCGATGTCAGAATAGGTAACAAAAGAAACTAAACAAAAAGACAATGATACATAAATTAACAAAGGACTACTAGCAGTTATTGACATGCCAGCTCCAGACCTCAATTAAACTGATTGAAAGATTATGTCTTCATCATATGAAAATCAAGTACAATTCCTCCCGTTAGGGGTTTAGTATCATACAATCATAAAATATATGAGAAGAACATAACCCGTATCATGCCAACAACTGGTTTTAGAATAATAGTGTTTATTTCCGATGCAAAGACCCTATGAGTGAATCAATATTAATACCAAAATATGCAATCCTTAATTACCTGACAACAGTATCGTAACTATATCCTTTCCGAATAAGTCTGTTTAAAGTTTTGGTTAGCTCTCGAGGTGAATGCCGACATTTTTGTGCTTTGTAAAGAATATTACCAAAAAATATTGGATGTGAAATACCTGAACGTATAAGATTTCTACATGTTGATTTATATTTACGAATTATTTATAACCCATTTTCCTAATTATTGCAAATGCTCAAGCGTAATCAATTGATAAGGAAATAAACTGAGTATTTTTTAAGGATAATTCTGCTGCCAAAAAAAAAGCAAATTGGCAAATAAATATACTGCAAGTGAAAGAAAGTTACTGTATAGACTTTAACTCCATCTTTTCTTAATTAGACAGGGTTCCACATCTTTTTTGAAATGCTTGTATTTATAGCTGACTATGGGCTTTGATCATTGTTGAAGGCCGTACGGTGACCTATAGTTGTTAATTTCTGTGTCATTTGGACTCTCGTGGAGAGTTGTCTCATTGGCAATCATACCACATCTTCTTATTTTTATATTGTATTGTTCTAATAATTATGAATCAAATATCAAGTTTGAAATTGTCCCGGTTAACACAGCGTTGACAGAATGATTCTATACGTATTTTAATAATCGGTTATAATATTGGGATCGCGTATACACGTCTTTTTTTAAATCTTATTTCTGCATGTTTGTATTTAAAAAAAGTGTATATAATTTGCTGCATCTTTTCATCCTCACCATTTCCGGCGATATTCGAGGTATTGCGCACAAAACCCATTTTATTTGTCAAGTTCACACACGTGCACGTGACACAACTCTGCAATTTTATTTTAAAAATTTCCTGTCTCGATCGCTTTCCCTTTTCTTTAACTACACGACAAAGCATAATATAATGTTTGCTGGAGATTTTAAGTAAAAAAGGAAATAATTTCTTGTACCATTATTTGTTGAATATCCACATGCACGACTCCCAAAAAATAAGAAAACTGCATCTGCATATTATCTTGAGAATTTTTATGGCTGTAATAAGGTCAAAAGAAGAACCCGCATATGAATTTTAGCAAAGTAAAACAGATCGGAGTTTTTGATATAACTTGTCCCTGTATATAATGCAAATGAATTGCAGTTTTGTTAATATAATATGAAAATAAGGAGATGTGGTATGATAACAAATGAGACAACTATCTGCCACAGTTTAAGGTAGATCGGGTGTCTTTTTCTGAGCGTCCGTTCTGATCATGTTGCAAAAATACTTTCTTGTTTTAAAAATATTTTACCAAGTATCATTTAATATACAACAAAATACCTAAAACTTGAAATTTAAAGATTGAACTATCAAAAAATTAAGTGTCGTAAAGAATATTTAAAATTTTTGGGGATTTTTTCAAGAAAATAAGGCCCGTGACCCCCTATTTTTATTTGATATTTCGGAGTTATTAATGAAAAGCCAATTCTATCGTTTAATGTTTCCGCAATAAGGAAAACTTAAGTTTCCCCTATATTAACAATATAAAATAACCCAAATTTCGTTAATTTCAATGTGTTATTACGAAAAAACAAAGTCCGTGATCCCCAGTTTTTATATTGAAATTTGAAATTACATTGACCCAGAAGTCTTTTACAGAAGTTTAAGAAAAAGTTATCGTCCAACATTTAGACACCCCAGCTACCTTAAATGATGTAGATGTAAGCAATTATTATAGGCAACCATACGGCCTTCAACAATGAGAAAAATCCATATCGTATAGTCGGTTATAAAAAGCCCCGACATTGTAGACCTTATTTTCTTCACCCCTACCCCTTCTTCCCCTACCTTATACTACTGCTGAATGATACACAAAAGCACAACAAAAGAAAACATATTTCGCTATCCCTTCGAAATTGGAATTTGATAAAGAAAAAATAACACGTTCTATTTTTATCATACATGTGTAGTTTCAGTTTCAACCATGGTTCTAAATTTAGATTTTACTTTCCCCAAAAATTGCGGACGGAATAGAAGACACCTGTTTATTTTCTGCACCTTGAAAACTGAGATTTGGATAACAAATTTTACTTATTCTGAGATAAATGTAATAGTGCCCAATTCTTAGTTTCTGAGTGTGTAATGTTTTGTGGACGGAATCTGATGTTTTTTTTTTTTTGCTGTTGGCTTTTTCTTCGCCTTCGGCTTATAAATGTTCATTATGTTGTACTAGTTGTCGATTACCCCTTAGTATCTTTTATACTTTTTACATAAATAATAAAATATAAAACATCATAAAATTTTCAATTGCATAAAAACGGACATGCCAACGTCTTTCTTGTTCAACACACAAATTCACATGCAATATAATTATTCGTTACCTACAATTTTACGCTACACTGTGAATTTCATTCAAAACTATGGTTTTTCAAAAAATATTGTGGGGTCAATTCTGGTTTGATTTTAATGAATTTGATACGAATAGAAGCAGAATTGTCACTGGTTTATTTGTTTATTTGGTTATACTTTTGTTGTTTATGCGTGTTTACCTTCTGTTGAAAAAAACACGAGTCGTATTGTGTACCTGCTCCTGCGTGTCTAAAACAAAAACAGTGGTAATAAAGTCAGACTAACTCACAATAGGATACTCAGATTTCTGATTGGAGTCATTCTAATAATTTCTTTGAAGTTTTGAGATAGCACATGAATACTTGTTTGGATTCATGATAGACCGCACGAAGTAATTTTTCTTTCATGTGCCCATTTTTCCTTTCTTGGAGTAGGTGAGATAACCCGCGTAACTAACGACGCACGTTTTTTATCCTAAATTCCGCTAGAGGCGTGCAATTACGTACACTTCGCCTTAAGGTGAACCACAAATTTACATTTGTTCAATCAGAACCAATGTTATACATTATGTATATGCAGACTTTGGAAAAACCATGAAATCACAAATTTTTACTGGCTTGAGTGGAAAATATTGTTTCACCAACCATGCAAGGGTTAAATCTATATTTTTATAGTCCAGAAATTTATTACTACTTTCAATATTCTGTGTGTTATTGTGTACAATTCATTAATTATTCTCTAACATCAGGAACAAGTTGCCATTTATAATATCATTATTTTGGAGCACCAGAGTTCAACTCCCTTCCTTTTTGGTGAGTTTATTATATCATATAAAGAGGCTATAAACACTATTCCCCTTAATTTTTTCTTAAATAGCCCTCATGAAATGCTAACTTACCAAAAAACATAGGAATATCTAGTTTATCTTCATGGTCAACATTTCTACGAAGAGAAACTAGATAAAAAGCATAGAGCATTGAACCAAAGACAGCCCATAGAGCTCCTGCTGGTACTCCTTTCTCCAAATTTACATCAGCCAGGCTTACCATCACAATACCACCAATACTGAAATAAACCAGTTCAATAATAAACCAAATAAAGGCATTATCTCCCTTCTTTTTAAAGAATTTGTTAATTATTCAAGGTGAAGAGTTTGTTTATATTGATTTTGAGATGAAATGATTGTCTATATAATAAATCAGTTATTGATTTTTAAAATATCTATTCAATAATTGTAGGTCGTTGTTAGTTTTCTTAGTACAAATACTCCATCAATTAATGTAGATTATTATGCAATTTTACTTTTGTAAACAAAAAAAAACCTACAAAAAGTCATTACCTTCTACATGTATTCAATATTGCTACCACTAGTACTGTTCAAGAAAGATAACTTTCAATATAAAAATAAGATGTGGTATGATTGCTGATTAGAGACAACTCTCCAGCATAGACCAAATGATGTAGAATTTAGAAACTATAGGTCACAAATTCACATCTTACCTGACTAAAACAGTTACAAGTTTTGATAATGTAAATCTGTCTGCTCCTGAGCTTGGAAATATAGCTGCACATATTAAAGTAAACAATCCAGACGTAGACGACAGGACATTAACCACTCCTGCTTGAGTATCTAACAAAGCTTGCTGGTAGGAAAAATTACCAAAAAACCACTGAAATATAAAGGACATATGAGACTGAAAGGAAACACTAAATGTTTTCTACTCCAGCTAGATATTGTATTTTCATCAAGGACTCAAGAATGTGTATTGTTGGACTGCTGTTTCACTGACATTTAACAAAATATTTTTTTCTCAAATAAAATTTCAACCAAAATATTGAGTAAAAAAATTGCTGTTTGCTTAGAACTTCAAACATTGATACTTCAAAATTGACGATAGACTTGATTACCTCCCTTTGACCATTAACCAAAAATTTATACATACCTTTCTTGTAACATATTAATGAAGCAGTAAGCAAGTCAGTAAATTCTTTTACAGGAATGTTTCTGTTCATTTTTTTCACAACTTTTCTAGACTTGGGTCTATTTAGAGATTGACACTTTGTATAGACAACTGACTATTGATTTGATTTTTTATTTTTTGGTGTTTTAACGCCACTTTTAAGCACCGCTTTTGGGCTATTTCGTGGCGGCCAGTTTTTATTGGTGGAGGAAGCTGGAGTGCCCGGAGAAAACCACCGACCTTCGATAGGAAAACTGACAATCCTAGTCAATTAAGATTGGAGTCGAGTGCACCCGCACGAGCGGGGTTCGAACTCACAACCTCAGTGTTGACTGGCTAGTGATTACAGTAGTAACTACTTAGACCACTCGGCCACCGAGGCCCCAACTGACTATTGATGAAAATCATATGTTGACCTTTAAACATCTTTTGTTATTTGTGTCTAAGTTATGTATACATCTTCTATTACTCTTAATTGATATACATTATTTTGAAAATTTGTTGATGCTAATTAGGGTCTAATAAACCCTAAACAATATAATCTTCTGTTAGATTTGTCTTTTTCATATCAACTTTTAACAATCTTTATTGAAATCTGACAGTACAGTGGTTTAGTTGTAATACGCAAACTCACCAATATACAGAAAAATAGAGCTTTATTACAAACTCACCAATATACAGAAAAATAGAGATTTATTACAAACTCGCCAATATACAGAAAAATAAAGCTTTATTACAAACTCACCAATATACAGAAAAATAGAGATTTATTACAAACTCGCCAATATACAGAAAAATAAAGCTTTATTACAAACTCACCAATATACAGAAAAATAAAGCTTTATTACAAACTCACCAATAAACAGAAAAAAAAGAGCTTTATTACAAACTCACCAATATACAGAAAAATAAAACTATTACAAACTCACCAATATACAGAAAAATAGAGCTTTATTACAAACCCCCCAATATACAGAAAAATAAAACTTTATTACAAACTCCCCAATATACAGAAAAATAAAACTTTATTACAAACTCACCAATATACAGAAAAATAGAGCTTTATTACAAACTCACCAATATACAGAAAAATAAAGCTTTATTACAAACTCACCAAAATACAGAAAAATAAAGCTTTATTACAAACTTACCAATATACAGAAAAATAAAGCTAACTTCATAACTTGTTTGACAGATAATTTGCTCATTGATCTCAACCTTGCCTCCTCTGCCAGCAGTGAGGCAGAATAGGACAATCTGGCAAGATTAGCATCTTCTGCATAAGTTTCTATGAAAATGAAAGACAGAAAATAAAAGACAATTAATTTTTCATCATACATCAATAGTAACTCCAAAAAAGGCCTAATGTTTTAACCAAAAAAATAGTATCCAAAAATAGTATGTAATGCTTTCATTGTGACATCTGTTTTTTACCTCATGTGGACGATTCCGGAGCACCTTAGATCAACCCAGGTTTTTTGGTTGGGTTCTAAATTTTTCTATGTAGTGTCTTGTAAACTTATCTTTTCGTCGCTTTTTTTAACATTATACCATGATTTTGTCTGTCTCTCTTTGAATTGTGAGTTTTGATTCACCCTTTTGTATTTAAAACATATTTTTTACCTGATTTATAGAATAACTAATCAAAGAATTCAAATATAGAAAAATATTCAACGAGTAGAGTAGTGGGTGAGTTAATTATCAGTGTTGTTCAGTCACGACTTAAATATTTTTCGATATTTGAATTCTTTGATTAGTTATTCTTTTTATTACACTGACAATGGGCTTTTTTAATGGAAATAGAGTAGAAAATGCAAGGAACTATATCTTTTTCTACGCATTGGCAATTTGCTTTGATGCAACGTCATCAACGTCTGGACAACACGTAATGTTATATGACGTCAGAGGAGTGAAATTATCGGTTTTTATTTCATTAGGAATTTACGGTAATCATTGCAACCAATGTAATAAATTTAATTAATTCACACCTATTTACTACTTCCGACACTTTATTAAACCTTACAACACATAATATTATTTGTTTATATTAATAGAAAAGTTACCTGACAGATGTCTAACTTCTGAGACTTTATTGAACCTTACTGACTTCCCAGATGATACTGAAAAGAAATAAAATATTTAATAAATAAATATATAAACTTTTGACTGCAACTAAATTTCATATCACAATTTACACAGAAGTTCAGATAAAATAAGTAAATATCATATGGCAGCCTGTGGTTTGTTGAAGGTTTTACCTAGGACATTTATAATTTTTTTTAAACAATGGAATATAATTAGACAAATAATGACCTAAAGTTGGCATAACACAATTTCAGACAAATGTGACATTTTGTTCTCAAAAAATAGTTTGATGTTCTTGATTTTGTTTCTGTTGTGGCATATCTAGTATTTAACTAAGGTTATATGCATGTGAAGTTTAATTTTTCAGCCCAAAACATTGAAATTAATATTCAACTATTAGTTAAAAATTATAGAAAAAGTCTTTTTGCTCATATGAAAAAATTTGTAAGCACCAAATCTAACATAATCACACTTAATTCTTCTTTTCTAAATTAAAATGCAGAAAACATCTTTGGTTTTATTCCATTTTGTACAACAAATTGGACATGGGGTGTCTTGTTATTAATCATTTTCTTTTTTCCTTTTGGGAGTTCTTAGTTGTTGTTGCTTTTGTTTTATGTTTGTTTTTGTGTAGTTTGGTAGAAAGAGGCCACTCACAAAAGTATCTGAGAGTTGTTAAGACATGATATTTGTTCTCTCATAACAAACACTGTGTGATGAAATTGCATCAATGATATTAACACTCTAGAAATTTGATGTGTCTGAAGTGCTTTTCTGGATTTACCTTCATCAGGGACACACAAAACCCCAAAATTTTAAAGCCTAGGATGTATAAATAATACCTGAATACGGTACATAAAAATAATATGACCTAAAGGGACCTAAAAAAAAATAGTCAAATTCATCTAAGGTCAACTGTCACCAGTTAAGTAATTATTGGTCAATACTTACAACTACAATCATCAGATTCTGTGCCACTGGTCTTATCCTCACCCCTCCTAACTGGTACATAAACTGGATCACTCTGTTAAAAAACAAACTAAAGTTAGAGAACGGAAACCAACTTTGGGACGTACGGACGAACGGACTAGGGTAAAACTTAATGCCCCTCCGCTACGGCGGGGGCATAAAAAAACAATAATTACAAGAGAGCGTCAAATGTACAATATGCTTATTAAAATAATGCTGTTGATGAATGTCTTTAGATATTCATAGAAAAAGCTATTTAACTGTCCTCATGCATACAACAAGGTCATTTGATTAAAAACTACTCTTGATGTTTAGCTAATCAATGTGAAACAGGGGGATTGTGGAATTCAAAAGAAAGTCCAAGCTGCATCCAGTGAAAAAAACTCATTGTATCTAGCCCAAAAATAATTAATGCTACTTTAGTTGCAGACTTTCTTTTATCCTATTATAGTATAATGAATTTAAGTGTATAGCCTCATTCCATACCAAGGTGATTTAGTCAAAAACTACTCTGATAGTCGTTATTACAGTGAATGCTAATAATTGTGAATGATTAACTCTGATCATATCATTATGAATACTGTAGATTTAGAAATTATTGTGTTGCATTTATTTTACGATTTTTGAGAAATGGACACAAAATGCAAGGTTAATTATTGCAATTTCAGAAACATCTGCATACAGATATATGTACCAGATTTTAGAATGCGAGTTCTTATAAGTACTGTGATACTCACGCAGTCGCATTATTTGCATTTATAAAAACCTCGCAATAGTTTCTGAATTTAAGTAAAGAGAAAAGGGATATACATCAACGAGGCTTCTTTGAAAATGTCCAGTTCCTGTGCATAAAAGAATTTGAAATATCAGACTAATCTTAAAGAACAGAATAAGAAAATATAACATCAATCCTACCAGAGTATGGTTAGTGTCAGGACTGTTAGGTCTTTCTTCTTCAATGTTGTCATCTTGGGAAATTAAATTCTGAAAATGTAAACACATACACATACTATGAAACTAACTGCAAGAAAATCTTAGCTAGGTGTAATATACTTATCAAAGAGGGGTCTTAATTATGCATGTCTATTTATCAAATTCTTTGAAGAGATATTCATTAGGAATCACTGCAGGCTATTTAAGGTTGGTGCTCTTTCTCCCTTGAATTAATTAGTGCCACCTTTAGATTTCCAGTGTCACTCTTGATTTCCTCAGTATAAACCTTAAATTTTGAATTTTGAATTTATTTGAGATAAGCTGTAGAAAATATTTCTTAATCAGCAAAATTTTATTGATTTTGAAAGACTATAATCATTTATGACAAAAAATGAAAACTTAATTATCTAATAAATTTTAATAATACAAAAAAAGTTTGCACACATGTATATATGTAAGTAAGAGTACCCTATTGAAAAAGGTTTTAAATTTATAAATGTTTTTCTGTGTTTAAAATAATTATTTTATAAATTACACCCTTGAAATTTTTCCTGTGTTGATTCTTTTTCATTTTGTTTACCAGATATCTTTCTTTATCATGCTATGATAATTGCATATAACTTTAAGATTTAACTGGCTACTGTCTTAACTATACTGAATCTACTCAAAGGGTCGCTCTCTGTTGCCATCTCAAATGAATATATCGGCAGTACTATATTTTCTCTACTGTGGATGGTACAATGCACATCATGTTTTATTCAGTCTTAAAAATCCTTCCAAATTTAAATGGTATTAACTGATCTATGACTTACATGTAAATTTCCACCATTTCTGCACTGTCTTCGCCATGGTTCCCAAAAGAGGAAGCCAAACAAATATATCATAAACATACTAGTCTTGGCATAAGTTGTAAAAAATGGTTTATTAAAGTCTTCTTCCTTAAACAGGTACTGAAAAAAAATAAGTATTGATCAATAATTCAGTAAACCATAGAAATACAGTGTATAACAAGACTGTAATATGCATTGTTGTGGTAAGCATACTTTCTCGTTTCTCGTTTTTTATATAGATTAGACCGTTGGTTTTCCCGTTTGAATGGTTTTACACTAGTAATTTTTTGGGGCCCTTTATAGCTTGCTGTTCGGTGTGAGCCAAGGCTCCGTGTTGAAGACCGTACTGTGACCTATAATGGTTTACTTTTATAAATTTTGACTTGGATGGAGAGTTGTCTCATTGGCACTCATACCACATCTTCTTATATCTATTGTTACTTGGATGGAGAGTTGTCTCATTGGCACTCATACCACATCTTCTTATATCTACTAACTTGTATTCAAAGTATATGAAACACAAATCATCCCTGTGCTGCTGTTGATTAAATATTGTGTCATTCTGTTCCCTACAGATGGAGAAATATGTAAACAAAATAATTGTAGGACAACCAGACAACGTGATTGCAATTGACACCTATTGCTAGAGTGGCGAAATAATGATATTTTGATTTGTTCACTGCTTGTCTCTACTGGCAATGATTTTAACCTTTCAGTATGGTGTGTGCACTAGCTATATAGCTAATGTAGAAGACTATATGGTCATGATGGTGATAAGTAGAGCTCTATTTTAAAGTGTAGGTGCTGAGGCAGTGTAAAGCAAACACCAATCAACCAATCAATCTATTTTAGGATAACTAGTCGTGCTAGTGTTGTTCCGTTGCTATCTCAATGACCTTTATCATGTTTATCCAAATCTTCTCTTCTTTTCTTTATAATTTCTCAGCAGTTTTATAAACTGATCTTTTGCATCTGGTGTGATATAATTAGTACCATTTATGTTATTATTCTGATGAATGTTATTTAATTTAAAGCAATGAATGCTGTTGACTGGTGTTAAACAGTCCCTATCATTTGGTAGAGTGTTTATTTTTACAAAATCATTTGTACAATTAGCCCAAGCGTGTTGACATCACATCTCAAACCTTCTTTAAGTGTCTAAGACGTTGGTATTAGTTTGTAACATGTTCAAGTGTTTAAGACATTGGTATTAGTTTGGTGGATTGATGTACTCTAGTTGTGTTTACACTACATTGTGGTTTATGTCTCCTCCAGTTTGCATTTAACATGTCACAATCAACACTTTAGTCAATGCGGTCTGTAAAATTTTCTTTTTTTTTGACTTGTAAATATTACCTATTTTAACTCTGATGATCCAACACAGATCAAATCTACAACCAATAGAGGGTGTGGATGGGGGTTTACAGAATAGAGAAAAATGGACCCAAAAAATAAAGAATAGAGATAGAATAATGATGTGCTAAAATATGAAGAATAGAGAATAATGGGCAAAAAGTGTAAAGAATAGGGAAAAATGGCCTAAAAAAAATTACAGAAATGAAGGACTCCCCATCCAGACCCTCAAATATTAGTTTACCTCTGTTAACTCTGATGATCCAACCCAGATCAAATCTACAACCAATAGAACTATAATACCAAGAACCAATCTCTGGACTTTGGTCAGTCTTGTTGTTCCCAACATCTCAAGGAATAGTTTTTGGTTTTCTCAGTGATGGGTCTTTGTCATTTTACAGATTGTAGAAAACCCATCAAAAGGGACAGTAAATTAACATTATTCACTTTTTCAGTTAGAATAAATTTAGTAAGTACTACATGTTATTGACTTTTCTTAGTTGCTCTTACAATTAAAACCTGTTTTACCTGAAAAAAAAAAAAAAATATTACAAAATCTTCTAGAGTTCTCATGAATTTCTATTTTTTTGGCACACAAGTCATACATAAACATGATAAATGTATGTTATAATTTCACTATTTATACTACATGTACATGATGTAGGTATTTAATAATTAAATCAAATATGAAATTGATGTATTTTAATGAATTCCAATGATGATTTATTGTTTATGATGTTTATTTTACCAATGTACATGCCCTTGAGTAACAAGAGTGAAAGAAAACAGTTCTTATAAAGTTGTCTTTTTGAAATAACAAACAACCATTATCTGTTAAGTCAATGCTTTCAAAAATGTGGTGCACACTGAATAACCCACGTAGAGTTATTTTAAAGTGTGCACCACATTTTCTATGTTATTTCGAATAGACAGAAAAAACATTACAGCCATTCCTTATAATTTAATTCTAAATTCCATTTTAAACCAGAGTAAATTATGAAAAAACGTTGACGACTTCACGGTCACATGACTAAATTATGTCTATGAGCTGATAAACAAAACACTGTCAGCCAATCAGAAGACACGTTACATCCAAATTCAAATTATTGTCTTATAAATGAAAAATTGCTGATTCACTGACATGGTAAAAATTGAAAATTCCCTATGATGAAAGCGACTATTGTGAACACCAGGGTGACTACTCCCGACTAGATATCGCTTTTGACGGTAGGGCAAAGTGAAATGGACGGAAAAGCAACTTTTTCGCCCCAGTCTCTGCTAGCGTGAGCTCTGTGTATCATGTAAATTTTTTTTTTTACTCATATACAATGTAGGCATGATAGGGGTTGATAAGAGCAGGGGCCTGTTTTACAATGACGCAAGCCCCTACATCACTACAAACTGAAAAATGCTGTATTATTGTGCTTTTTTCAGAGATACATTTACATGTATGTACACTTGTAATCTTTTTACATTTTCCACTTTTTTTTTTGAGAAATCTGTTCAAAGAATTTTGCAGTAATAGTAAATATCATTTATGTTATAGCTACATTTTGTACATGTATGAACAGTCAGGGGACTTACCATGCTTACTTAAATGAGTGATTTTTAAATCACTGATTCAAGTAACATTGTGTCCACAAATGTTGGAAGTAAGAGTTGTCTTTCTTTAATAATCACCTATTTAAGTAGTACAAATAAATCACTAGACTAACCGACCGTGCAAGGGCTGTATAGCCAGTCAAGGTCGTTAAAAACTTCCATTTGTTGACTAGACTAAGTGATTTAATTTTATTGTAGCTTTGAATATACAATACTAATGATCCAGGGACTAATTATTGTGCTAAAATGATCAGAACCAACATCTGTGTTGATAGGATGACCGGTCATGTCAGGTGATGGCTTTGTACTGGATCTGGGATAATGACATGAAAATCACTTGTTTAAGTACATGTATCATACCTCTATTTTCTTCCAAAAAATCACTTCTTTACTTGTACCAATATCTGGCATCACAGTCATAGAATGTTATTTGAACAGAATTTCAAGCGTTTGTGGAAGACACAACATTGAAAAATAATTAACAAATGTGTTCAAAATGATTATGTGGTGATTTGAGTTTTTCTCTACTTGTACAAAATAGACGTATTTACACTTGTATGCAAATCTGTCCACCATTACGTAAAATCACACAGGTTCCCGTAAACTTTGACATCATAATTCAAAACATTTGACGTCACAATTAAAAAGTGATTGTTGCCTGAAGTCAAAAGGTGATTCGGAGTAGATCTAAGGTCATTCGGAGGCAAAATATAGCTAATTACCAAAAGTGTAAATACGTTTATTATTATTATGTTGTACCCTTCATCAGGTAGCATATGCCTGATATTTTCATGTGTATTGTTTTAAATTGAATGTACTGTATTGTTTAATATTGCCGATTCAGAAGCTTGTTATTGCTTATGTTATGTGTAAATTTATGCACATCGACTTTAAATAAACGTTGGACTTTCACCATGTTGATGTCGACTTCAATATTGACATTATAACATGTTGTTGAGCACTAGAGGCGCCTCATAATTTACTTACTGGGAATGTTTATTATTCAAATTCCATAAAAATTGTTGTCTGTGATACGCTGTAGTAAAACTATCAGCGAGTCCGATGAAATAGAGATACTTCTTCACAAAAAAACGTAATCTGTCAAAGACCCGGAAGTTGTTAATCAAAAATAAACAAAAATCGAAACCGGATTTCAAAAACGTGATAAAAGTTGCTGCCAGATTGTTCTTGATCGAAACATTTTTAAGAGACAGTTTAAAGTCACCAAAAATATTTTTTATAGATTCAACACAACAACGTATCTCAATGAAATTAAAAACCACAAAAAAATGATAAATAAAATTAATAAATGAATAAAACGGTGCAGATGTTAACTGCGAAAGTTCTACACGACAGAACACAAACAGTCGTCATCAATGGCATTTCTTCCACCTCAGTACCCGTAACATCTGGTGTACCACAAGGAACAGTATTGGGCCCAATACTGTTCCTCATCTATATAAATGACCTACCTGAATATTTACAACATAGCAAGCTAAGACTCTTTGCAGATGACAGCATAATTTACAGGGAAATAAAAACACAGGATGATTGTCATAAACTGCAACTAGATCTAGACTCAGCAGCACGATGGGAGTCAGATTGGCTCATGGCATTTCACCCTGACAAATGTACCAACCTTACCATCTCACAAAAGAAAAATAACTATCGGCATAATTACATCCTCCACAATCACATTCTCGAATCAGTAACATCTGCAAAATACCTCGGCATCACCTTACAATCCAATCTTAAGTGGAACAAGCACATAGACAGTATAGTATCAAATGGGAACAGATCACTTGGTTTTTTAAAAAGAAATTTAAAAGTTATTAACACAGAAATAAAATCAAGAGCATACCAGGCACTAGTAAGACCCAAACTAGAATATAGTTGTAGTGTCTGGGACCCCCATATGAAAGATCAACAGACAAAATTAGAAAATGTGCAGAGACGAGCTGCTCGTTATGTACACAACAACTACGATTACACGAGCAGTGTCACAAACATGCTAAATCAGTTGAAATGGCCACCACTAGCTGAGAGACGCCTAAAAACCAGACTTATTTTATTTTACAAAGTAATACACTGTCTTGTAGCCATTCCATCGCATATTCTTGAACAAACAGACAGCAGAACAAGACAAAACCATACTCAGACATACAGACACATACAAACTTCCAAGGACACATACAAATGGTCGTACTTCCCGCGAACAATTATTCAGTGGAACTTACTACCACAAACTGTTATTGAAACCGCCACTGTTGACAGCTTTAGAGATCAGCTAACACCAGCTGTTCTCTCTAGCTTCAGATAAACAAATCCAAACCAAAACATGTACATAAATTGCATATTTTTTAATCACAATCTGTATATACAAACACTTAAATTGTTAGTAAATATTTTTATTAATTCATATAAAAAAAATTTTTTTTGTCAATCACGCATGCGCAACAACATGTATTCTTCAGTATTGAAGCCTTGTTGACCTAAAAGAAGAAGAAGAAGAGGACGAAAATGTAAGGTAGCCATGTCAAACAGTACGGTGGCCTATAATTTCTGGATGCAACTTCATTTTAACTCTGGTTGATAGTTGTCTCATTGGCAATCATACAATATCTCATTTTTTAAAATTATATTCATTTTTCCAAATTAAATCTAATAGTTTTTTTTTTTGTGCAACTTGACATTTAAAAAATCATATACAATAACAATGACGTGAATCTTATATACGTCTTTGACAATAACAACAAAAATAAATTAGAAATGTCATTGTCTTCATAATTGAGGTCTGAACAAAAAAATAACCAGGTTTACCGAATTTCTCGCATAGTTTCTGTTGATAAGTAAGTTGAACAAACGGAATCGCCCCCGAATTTTGTCATATTATACATTTTATTCATTTATTTGTGACGTAATTATCTATGTAAACTCAGAAACGCGATCGTCTACACTGTTGAATTAACCGGTGAATTTTCTATCAAACCGTTTTTTTTTCCTGTGTTTTCTATCTTATTAAATTGTATGACTAATCAGCATTGAATACTTGTTTTTTTAAGAAACATTATATTCAAACTCTTTCACAGCAAACACCTGCCTAATAGTTCATGTTGGTATTCACATATAAACATAATTGAGGCAAATAGTATGGTCTTTATGATGTAATCAGATGGAAATTTGCGATACTTAGCCATGGAGTTCTTTGGCACTGGCATGATAATACGGATTTTGTGTTACTAAAATTTGCTGTTACAAAATTTTGGAAATCATTTAATATATCTCCCTCATGTAAAACTCTGATTCCTTGACCGTCTTAATATGGCTATTCTTTTTGTCCTTTCTGGTTTATAAGCTCTTCATTTTTGTAATGAGCTTTGGATCTCCAAAATTTTTAGCCTCGAAAATCACTGAAGATACATTTATTGCCAAAATTTGCATCTGGTGTAGAACATTGGTACCGTTAATGTTATTCGCCTTCCTCTTTTTGATGATTTACGCAAACTTCCGAGGGAAACGATATCTGAAAGGGTTTTGGGCAAATGCGGAAGGCTGAAATAAATTAAACGATTTTGGTTTCATTATTGATTTAACTACTGTTATTTAGGAAAGCGCTTCAGACGCATGGAATTTATAAAGTGTTGTTTTTATTTTTATTCGTCCTCATGAAAAATCAAGTGAAGACAACTTAATCGTTATTTTTATAATGAAAGCCTTCCTATATTTATTAAATTTTGAAACATTTTATTGCAACTAATAAGCAACAGTTATGAGCCAAGTTATTCAACTTGTATTTAGTCATCTCGCTTACCCTGCCAACACACCCGGCTATGGCACAATTTAGTTAAACATTTATAATGTCGAACGCAAGGAATCTCGTCATTGATTGTCTTATGTGTCGTATATGTTCATTCAACCTATGCCAACACTTTAAAAGTTAGGTGCAAAAATGTTATACTAAACTTGAAAAGCCTTTTAACTGGGTTTTGGTGGGGTTCGTGATGCTTAGTCCTTAGTTTTCAATGTTGTGTTTTGTATGCTGTGGTTTGTCTTTTGGTCTTTTTTCGTTTTTGCCATGGAATTGTCAGTTCGTTTTTCGACATATGAGTTTGAATATCCCTTTGATATCTTTCGCCTCATTTATGATTATGATAATTTTAGGTTATCTGATATACCCATTCGGGGGAAAAGGGTATACTTTTATTGGTGATCTACTAATTGATTACATGTTGATAAAAGTTCAACTTGGTAAGGGTACATGTAAGAGTCTGTAAAAAATGGGTACGACTTTACAACGAATAGTACGAAATGAAATGGCTTCAACCAACATGGCAGTCTCATCTGCAGATTTAAGTAAGTAAAAAAGCATAAAGAACACTGAATTAAAATATTACAATTACAATTAAACTCACCATAGATACCAGGATTAAAACTTTGTACGCCAGACGCGCGTTTCGTCGACAAAAGACTCACCATTTACGCTCGAATAAAAAAAGACCAAATAAAGTACGAAGTTGAAGAGCATTGATGACCCTGTTTCATTTGTTTTAAAACATTGGAAAATGTACCTTATCATTAGGAAGGTTCATTTATAATATGTATTTCGATAATATTGATTAAACAACCAAATAACAGACAATTTTTTATTCAAGAAAATAAAATTCCTCCCTTATGCTATATGAAAAAAGTAGCGCACGATCGTATGATTCTGGTCTTGAAAAAATTAATAAGGGGTGGTTGTACGGTGAGGTAATAGTGATTTCGTTCTCTTTAAAACAAATTATGTGGCATTGGTTGATCGTTATATTCTGAGCAGATTAAGTGATATAAATAATATGTTTTTAGAGGGCAAACATCGCAATTGTACGTTAACGTTTTCTGTTACTTATCTCTTTTAAGTATTCTTAATAACCGAAGAGACATTTTTTGTAGAATTTCGCTGCTGTTGCAGTACAATTAGTAACAATAATGTTATTTCTACAACTGGGTCGATACCTTTGCTGGTGGACTGTTAGTCACGGATGATATCACGAGCCAACTAGCCAGTAATTCAGTACTGACATGAAGATACGAATATTTTTCATGGAGATTTGCTGCTATGAAACTTGTAAAATAGTTTAAGAAAGGAATATGTCTCCCTCGTGCAAAGCTCTGATTTCTTTTCCGAATTTGGCCATACTTTAGGTCCATGTTGGTTGATTAGCTCTCAAAGGTTTTTATAAGTTTGGTTTTTCATATATTTTTGCCTCGATGATCACTGAAGAGACTTTGATTTATTGACTATTAATGTATACGAGTATGTTCGAATGGTCACCAAGATTTCAGTTATCAATGCCTAATTTTTAAGTAAGGATGCATTGGCCATTATCGTGGCTCTAACAATGAACAAATACAAAATAGGTGTTTTTTTTGTGTGTGTGTTAGAAAGTGTACACATGCATGAGCGTCCTTTTTATGCCCTCATGATTAGCAAAATTCTTAATTTTCTACCATATTCAATGATAGTATTGCATTTGGTTGACCATTTTGATTCTTAAAACGAAGGAATAGGTTGACGTTTCTTTAATTTATCGTGCCCTGTGTTATATGTTTCCTATGCCTAAATATGGTTGGAATCCAAACGATGTTATCAATTTTTTAATACAAACCTATTTTCGTCCTTTTCGGAGTGTAACTGGTAAAAAAATCTGAAAATAGATCGTACCGTTTTATTTTCTTACACATGTATTCATCAAATAGAAACTTTACCCCTCTTAAATCATTATAATTAATATTTAGGGCTAAATAAGACCCCTGCTCCACCTACTCTTTATTTTGTCTTTTGATATTATGTTTTGTTGAAAAAGGGAGAAATATATTTAAAAAAAAATTAAAAATGTACGCACTTCTTATCTAGATAAATCAGTATCATGGGACTAACCATTATAAGTATTAAACTGACTATATTCGATTTGCAATTAGAACTTTTTTTGATAATGACTAAAGTATAAATAATTTACAAATATCTCATAATATTAAAGTGTAACATCATAAAACCACTACATAATTAAGCCTTTGGTGGTATCTAGGCAGAGCGAATCTGGAGGTTGATAATTTATTTATTTGAA